TAGAGGACAAGTTTGCCAGGAACACTGCAATGAACCTAATATGACGCTTTATTATTACCAGAGTATAAGAACCCGTTTTAAAACTTCATACCTATCTTAGTAGTGGTTTTAGATGTGGCTCGCCCGCAATATAGGTTCAGTATTACAACAATACTTCACTCCATGCTTAGAAGTCATCCCATACGATAGCAAAAATATCGCAAACCGTGTAAGGATATTACGTATTATAAATTTTTCGCAATTACGTTATGTATTTTATTTGTATTATAAATAAGAATTACATGACATATAAAAATAAAGAACATGAGGATGTCACTCCTTTCGTTGCAGTAACACTGTTGTTCCTAACCCAATTTAATAAAAGGCCCTACATGGAAGGTATGAAAACCATAATACACACATATATATATACGTACATACCTGATTCACGCGGAACGCGTCAATGACGATCTTTAAAAACTTATATCCGTTCCTTGGCACAATTTTGTAACACTGTACCCAAACTCAAAAATATACATACATATATTTATCATATCTTGGCAAGTAAATATTTTGCTGCACACTTCTTCCGCTCATACAAAAATCGAACTTAAGTGGGTAAATTATGAAACTTTCTACTTTTTTTTTTTTTTAATAGAGTAAAAACCGACATACCTTGTAACATTATTACAAAAATGTGCCGTCTTCTCCAAAAACGTTCATAATACGCATTCAAACAATAGAATTTATACTAGCTAGACAAAACCATGTAAGAAGCGTATTAGACATCAAAGATATTATTACATTTGTTAGGGTATTGCCTATATCAAAGTCGTTGGTGACACTAAAATAAGCACAATGTAATATATCGATGTTGTATGTATAATACTATAGACACTAATAATGACATGCGCGTAGTGTTCTACTCTCGTTAAAGGACTTGTATCTGGAGCGCAATTGTCATCGAAAGAATATGGATTCAGACTGAATTTATTAATTATATATGCCCGACGAATAAGTGTCTATGAAATAACGGTACCATAAACCAGCGATACTGATCCGTTAAGGTGTAAAAATACTAATGCCTATACGCTATTGCATGCTAACGCGCGCACTGGTGTTATATCTCATGGTATCGATTCTGGGAACGATCTTCATTTTCTTCATTCGTCAATGACTCGTAATCGCACATGTATACGACACGTCATATGAGGCGTGAGAAATAGAAATTATGTTGTGGCATTTAACCTTAAGGGTACGCGGCACGAAGAATCATTTGACTGACAAGCGGCTATTGCTTAGCTATTTAACGCGCTAATTTGCAGAGAGCCCACTGATCATTCATTATCACAAGAGATATTTTTCTTATACTTATTTTATTTTTTACACTACTGTTAAGACTGTTTACACATACTGTGCGTAGTATCAGAGCATTGTACAACAAGGTTATCTGTCAAAAAATTGCTAGAATCGTGATCTGAATTGGCTATGGAAGGTATTGAATGAAAACACCCGAAGAAGGTTTAGTTTCCCTAACTTTTGTTAAATTTTTAATTGTTTATTAATGTGATTAAAAGTTTATCTGTATCATATTACCAAATATGTACAGCGCTACCAGGCCCATGTGTCTTCACTTATTAAATGCTTGTCCTGCTTGAAATTCTCAATTTTAGTTTTATTTTATTAGCAGATTGTGCAATAATGGTCATCACGAGAATTTAGCCAAATATGATTCCGGCGAACCGATAACCTGCGGGCTATCATTGCTGGCATTACATTGTCTAAATAGATTTTACACGTAGCAGTTCTCCAGAGCTCTTAAAAGCAAGCAAAGCTGGTTTGTCCTTATTACGTGACATTTTGATTTCGAGCCCGTTGATATGAGGTTCGCTTCTGTGTAAATTACATTATTCGTACTGGATATGTGATTTTTTGCGTCCATGTCGTTGTAAATATCTCTTTAACAGGTAAACATATAGCACTTTAATGATAAAGTAGGCATTAAATATAAATTCATTACGCAATCTTCAATAATTTTCTATAATGATACCTGCAAATATTTGGCTTCTTCATAAGCTCTATCTTAGTGGATACATCAAGACGTATTATCGTCTTCTATGTATGGTCACATTCCTATATGCTAGTCAGAGCGATTTAATATCGTGCATGTTAGTAGAATTCGTCCCATTTGCGATGACTGTATTGAAAAATTTATAAGTGCCGATGGCAGACAATGCTTAAACAAATAAGGTTGAATACTCATATATCGGTAAATTTATAACCATTTGACTGAAAGCCATCGTAGTAAACACGAGTGACAATTCCCAACAAATTTATTAAATTGTGTACTAAAGTCATTCAACGTCAATAAAATAATGATGTTAGAACACACGAGCACTACATTACGGATGAAAACTGATGAGCTGATTCCTTGTCCATGACAGCACATGCGTCGTCTGTTCTATACACAGCTATTCACGAACCCCTTCTATTGAATCAACGCGTATATATATATATATATATATATATATATATGAAAAGGGACGTGAATGGGGGTTACGGTTTTGCGTATCATGGTTGACATATTTAGCGAGCATATCTACGAGAAGGGTAACCCTTAACCTAGAAAAGTTCGTAATAGATAACACGTGAATGTTAATGCTGTGCGTCTGATTACCAATCACTGGCGCTACTCATTTCGCTACTACTTTTGCTATGATAAAGCCAATACAAGCAGCGACAGTGATAATCGTCACCATAATAGCGAGAGGCCTGTTACTGCCCACCAAATGACATCACAGATTCTGGCCGTAGCGACAGTCCCCGTAACCAGAGCTAAAACATCTGCCCCGACCGCTCTCAGAATCATCTCTGTAACGTTCGTCCGCCCATATTACCCGTAGCGCCTTTCTCTCTCCATACCTTTTTTCTATCTATCTATCTGTCTGTCAGTCATTTGTTACAATCAAATTCAGCTTTTCACATACCTGCTCTGTTTATATTGTCTTTAAATTCGCCCGGATTTGAATGTAACCTTTTGCTATGGGCGTTGTGCCGATATTTTCTGTTATCATGGTCACCAGTGTGGTTACTGCTACGACAATTATTAGCTACCTCTTGTTGGTTGAGATATTTGTTCTGATGCCGCATCGAACCGCAATTGTGCGGTTGCAAGGCCGCCAACGGGAACAACAAACACGACATTGAATCCAGCTTTATGCTTTATAACGTACTATAATATGTCGAATGACCACCGGAGTGCACGTCGTAGTCGCTTCACTTTGCGTGTCAATGTGACGGCGTCACTGTGTCAGTGATAACGGTACCAGAGGTAACAGCAGCCACACGTCAATGACACCGTTACAGCCGTCCTTCTTTTGCTGGCGCGCTTCGTCGTGAAACCTTGTCATTCAGTCATTGGTGGAACGGCAGCACTTTTTTAAAGTCCAGTTATTTGGACTTGGTGCGCTGATCAGTCAGTCGTAGTTCCTTCCACTGTCATTGCCATTGCCAGCGTGACAGTATCACTATATCCACGTAATCAGCTGGTGGCTACGTCGCGGCTGGCGTTGTTCGCGCCACGATAACTGTCAAAGTATCGACTACGTTCACAGGCAATCAACCTATTTGAAAAGGTGGGTACCCAAATTTCTTGAGACGAGAAAACGGGTTACAAAACCACATACTCTTACTAATTGCATGCATACGCATACGCGCGCATACGGCATAAAAGCACCGTAGGGGAAAGACCGCTAAACACAACTTGTAATTAACAATTCAGCTTTTTGGAGATGTTTTATAATATGGATTTGTTGTTATCTGTACTCGGCCGTATCCCTTCGAGTAGCAATACACGTTGTCTGTTGACACGGACAGGGGAAATCGTATTTGAAACTGATGAGACTAAATCGAGCGACCGCCATCGGGGTCATAGGAAAAATGCTTGCTGGGTTGTTAACTTCATTTGTTAAACAACACCGTGACAACACCGTGAAAAAAAAAAAAAAAATATATATATATATATATATATATATTTTTTTTTTTTTTTAAAGTTGAAAGAAATTCTATTTTACTTAAAAATTAAAAACGCATATTCAATCGACCTCAGCGGCTAAAGACTCTGGTAAAAAGCCGCGCAGTTGAATACCGCGATGTCCAAATAAACAGTATAAACATGAAATAATTGTGTTATTATTATTATTGAGAATATGTGTTAACTGTTTAACTTTATTTATCAAAGGAAGTGTTATGCATTCAGGGGAAGCCCGAAATATTTGGTGATATAAAGTTACATGTCTTGGACATAAAATAGATTTCACCAGCAACGGCAACGAGTGCCTATCAGCGGAATACTATTACTCTGATAATAAAGGTAGTATAATAGCGGTCTTAGCGATTCAGCAGTAATCAAAACCGTGACAACAACCAAATATACGTCTTGACTTTTGAGTCGAACTCAACGTAGAACTTCAACAGTAAACAAGAGACCAAATTTATGATTCAGCTCTGCAGTCGGAATACCACCAAACAACTCCCTGGCTAGGACCATGTTAAATGACTGTAGATGACTCTAACCCACCATATGTTCTGACGAAAAAGCTTTGCGTAAAGATGTTTGCAGCACAGGCCGCTTAGAAACGTGAATTCGCGTATAAAACTTAACCTTTGCGGTGCAAATTTAAACGATAAGAATTAATATCGATTTACGTTGAGGACTAAAAATATGTTGTTGTAGTATATCATATTTTTACTCTGTAAAATACGTTATCTCATAATCATATCGAGACTCAATCGGTGCTCAAGCTGAGTGCCCGTTTAGTGAAAGGGTTAAAGTGTTCGGTTAGGCTGGTGTTCAAAAATGTAAAAAAAAAGAAAGGAAAAAACTGCTTCCTATCGCTACGTTAGAATTTTAACGGTATGTGAAACAAGAAAATATATCATAGTCTCATGTGGACTAGAAGAAAAAAAGGACTATATTAAGGTCTTATGCAATGTAGCGTAACAATTCGATAGACACGTACCTGGTAAGGCGCAGGGCTTCGCGGGCCGATTTCTCGGAGCTACTCAGAACGACGAGTTTCTTAACACCCGCATTTAATGCGCGATCTAACACCTGGTCAAGGTCTCGTTGAAATTTTTTGTTGGCCAGGTTCGCCCCCGAATCCACGATGACATAGTCGTTACTCATCTCTGCGTTTCTAAATAGATGGTCGGTGCACTTGAGGTTACTCTTAAACCTCGTTCTGCTACCAACTCACTTTAGAACTCCACTGAGTGAATTCTAGAATGAAACATTGTTGCAACAACCAAACGAGAATCCGATGAAAGAGAAGCAGTTATGAACTTGGACCACACTCAAACATTCACTGCGTACGGCCGCCTTATCGCGAACTGATCTATTTCGAGCAATTCCGTTATATCACAGATGCCTACAAAGAATCTGATCATCTATTGACATTAACAGAAAGTAGAATGTAGGAACCAGTTTTCGTCTGCGGTTCGCCACGATTTGTCTGCTGATAGAATGTTCTTTATTTATACTATAGCGCTCATACTGCGCAGGACAACAATAGATAAACAGAGAAATTAGCAGGTAAGATATGTGACTAGCCCAACAAATACAATGTGTCCAAGTTTAAAGCACAACCTTGAACTTTGTCTCAGTCAACTTACGATTTGGTCTTCACCTCAGGTTAGACCTACTCACGGACTCAGAACTTCACTCGCACTGAGATTTTTTGTTCAACAGTAAGGAGGAGTTAGTGACTTCTTTACTGACCCAAACAGATATTTGGAAAACAATCTAGTCTTCAATAAATTTTACTTGTTAAGAGGATTCGATACTGAATAGATTACATTAAGAGCGAAACATTCTTTCACACAAGCACACACATTAGGATTTATTCGGTGGAGCAAATACACTGAGTCCGTGAAAGGTCTCGTGGAGTGGCGCACTCACAGAGAGAGTCTACGACAATCAGATGTTTTCACTACTACTGATCACCCGGTAGAGTTTCTCCCTCGGGTGTGTCTTGCTTTTCGAGTTCCGTGCAATAGTCTGGTGAGGGGCACAGTACTCCGGGTAGCTCCCGCCAATCTGGCGGGCGGTTTATAGAGCAGTACTACGAAGCAACTAACTTTAATCTGTTACCCCATCAAATACCGCCAGCTCATGCCGTAGCTTAAGTCATTTACCTTATGTATAAGCTAGGCATTTCGGTTAATAACTCGAAAGCAAGTTTAGTCTATTTCATTAGTTCATTCACTTATCAGACGTCAGCTTGTGACAGCGCTGCTTACGTTTTGATTACTTAGACCGCTGGCAGTGCTTATTCACAGGTCGCTAGCAGGCATCTAGTTAATGGGGAAAACGACAGACGAGTCGGGCCAGTACGACTACGGGGTCAATTGGGTTCGCCCAGCATCTATGTGATAGCGCAGTAGTAATTTATTTGGCTACTAAACGTAGGGACACTTGGTGGTCTAGGTTTAAACCCGGAAGTAAACACCTTTGCCTCGTGTTAGGATTCAAATAGTAATCTGAAGTAATGGCTAACAGCTAAAGTATCGGATTTGAAACGCTTATTTGGTCTAAATAACACAGTCGCTTGGCTCCACTCATCTTCGTTTCACAATAACCTATTACGTGTGATGGTGTACTTTTGTGGCATCGCAGCCAGCTGCTTATGCACAGCTAACGGCGCAAATAAAAGAAATTAGGTGTAGAACGTGAAGGGTGTTTGTTCCGTAATTTTTTTAACCAACACTGGTCAGCCAGTCAAAAGACATTCTCAAGCAAATAGTCTTTTCAAGAATATTATCAGTGACAAATAGACTTCCTTTGTCCACACTGGTTGTATAGTGTAAGTGCATAATATTAATAGATGTATATCAATTACCACTAGAGATAAGGTTTTGACACATGTCGCCCGTCATGTATGCTCACAGCGTGCATACCTTTATGTGCTATTTTCTTCTACTGTACGGAAAGCTATTGATGTAATCGACATCCGCGCAAAAGGCTCTAACGTGTACTGCAAAAGGACTAATTTATTGATTCTAACACTTCATGGGGCCTGAGTCAGGATACTTATTTGTCTATTAATAGTGGCCGTGCAAATGAAGTCAACTATACGTTAGATGTAGTTAGAAGTTCATTATTGTTATATTATTCTATAGTCGAACATTTCGTTATCTCAGAAGTCGTTGTGAGTTCAGTAATCACAAATACACAGCGTACATTTAATTTTAAATTATAGGGCTAAATGGGTCCATACGGCAGATACAGTCTCCAATTCCTTATGTACAAATATATAAAGCCTACTGTTAGATATTTCAAAATTACATAAACGTCATTCGGCTTTCTGGTAATTACTCCTTACCAGTTTTTGATGTGATTAAAGATTATTTTGCTGATTTTTAGATCACTAAAGGACATGTTTATTGCGATAACATGCGCCTACGTGATCAATTACTCTGGTTATTTATAATCACCTGCAAACTTTTCAAAAGGTGAAGGAGTTGCTATAGATTTACTCAAAAAAATAGAGGGTGGATTTGAAGTCAGGAATTATGCGTTATAGGATCCATCGCTTTAGAGTCAGTCATAGCGCATAACAACAGTAGAATGATTCCAAAGCGGATTTATAAGAAAATCATACTTCAGTGGCTAAAATACAAAATCATGCTAGTATTGCGTGCCTAGTAGCTCTGAGAATATCACGCTTTAATTCTTCAGGACATCGTTTTAAATACAGTTGAAACGTGGCAGAAGACAACTTATCTAATGCACATTTCATGTTATTAAGTGACGTTAAACAAAGTACCTGTCGTAGAAAAAACCTTTCTTCGGTACCATTTAAATTGTATGATTTGAAGCCACCAACTAATCACATAATATTGATGCTCTACTGCCGCCAACGTAATACTGCTGGCCACACTGGTTCGCCAAAGAGATCGCACGTGCTAAGCTTTTTTACCTGATATTTTACCAATAAGGAGCTTATATATCTGAATAAGATGTTTCCTACTTGAGCAAAGGCAGATCTTGTTATTGGTTTTGAGATTTGTCGAAATAAAATTAATACGTATATTCTATTGGGAAATCGGATAACGTTGACATTCATCAAGTTAGGAAGCTTATCTTTGTATCATCATTTAATGAAATCATCCTCATGAATAGTTTCTGATCAGGAGATAAATGCAGAATATTGATCTCGTTTCTGTCGCTTCCTGATACCAAAAAAGATTATCGCATAAACGAAGCGCCTAATTTCAAACACCTAGCAAACTACTTTATAAAAGCGTATAGAAAAAGGAAGCTCATGGTATTGATAATAAATCCTTTGTTCCACTACTTTCCCCGGGGCGAATATATCATTTTTCTAGTTTTTCTCTTTAAAAGAAAAGAAAAATACTTGATCTTGGTGTGCTGTGCTGGGCTACTCTATCATACTATGAAAAAGAAAATATTTCGTCATATTTATATAT